CCATCCACGAGCCGCATCACCAAGCGGAAAGTAAATGCGTCAAGCGTAAACCAAGCTTTAGAGGCTAACGTTGAGCTAGCTATTCTCACGGTGAAACAAATAGTCGGCTCTAAAGATTCCTCAAGCTACTTTTTAAATAACCAACGACTCGATATTACAGTTAAACATATTTGTCTACTTATCAACTTACTGTGTGTGACTCGTCTTCACTTGCCATTTAGAATCTTCTGGTGCTGATCCATAACAGCCATGAAACTCATGAACGGGAAGGAGAGGACGCTTGTGCTAGTACCCGGATATCACCACAGGACCAGCTCAGTAACCTACTGGTATGAGTCCACAGTCGTCTTTAATTTAAGAGCCAGTGCCTCCCTGCTTGACACTCTGCATTAAGGGGTTCGACTGAAGAAGATAAACCGCCAAATGGTTCCTGAGCACTTCTGTGTCAGCAGCTCACTGCTCCCCCAGGGGATGGCTCAAATGTGGAGAACAAATTTCACCAGTGTGTGACGACTAATGGGAATTTATCTTTATGTCATTCTTACCTCATGCACCTTTAAGGTCAAGATGTTGCAATAAAAAAAAACTTCTGGCTCGTCACATCTTGCAACATTTTCTGTAAAAGTTTTGCTTTTATTGCAAACTTTGCGATAGGGAAGAATTAAAGCTGGAGAAATCAATATTTCCACATGAACAATGGGTTTTATGATAATGCCTTCAGTACAAAATGTAGTGACAAGCCCTTAGAGGATCATCGCCTAACTCTGCTCTTAATCTCATTCCTACTGAGCATTTAAATTTCCTTTAAATTGATTATTTTTTGCAGCTTTGCTTATTTGGATCACCCTCACTACTCGGTGCTATCGGAGCTGCTCTCATCAGCAGCGGTGGGAAGGAGTAATCAGCCCAGAGCTTCCCAGTCCCAGAGAGACAGCGTTGCAGATGAACTGATAGTGAAGCGGAAGAGTTTGTAGAGACACCCCACCCCTTCTGGAAATGTGGGAAACACTTGATGGTCAAAAGCATAAATGTATGAGAATAAATCTCTCCTGAAAATAAACTTCCAACACACTCAAAAATAAACACCCCTCATTCACTCAGACGTTTCCAAGTCATGTGCTTTTTGTCACACAACATGATTTAGTCCTTGGGCAACCTTGCACCCCCCTGCTGAGCTTGGAGAAGTTCACACATAAAACAACTTCTTGATGTCTGCAGGACACAAAAACTCCTGCGAGCACCTGAAACTGAGCCAGAGCCGATCGATTCCTGTTCTTCGCAAAGGAAAGCGACGTCTTATGTAGATGGCCAGCGTTTGAATGGGAAGAAAGGATCCAATTTCTCCCCCGGACTCTGCCGAAGATAGGCTCTGACTGACAGCTCAGCGGTGTGCGGATCCTGCAGCTACTTAAACGACAGCCAGAGAAGTAAACAGCATCAGGCTTATCAGAGCAAAGCAGCAGCTCAGAGGGTAACGGTTTGGCTGAACAGGAGAGACTGGAGGTGCTGTGCAGCTAGCCGGCTAACCGAGCTCACAGCCACAGCCTATGCATGACCTTGGATGTGTTTTCTGTCCCGCGTGGCTTTCAGCCCTTAATGGATGTGGGAGGGGGTGCTGAAAGTGCACTGAGATGACTGTTAAATGTCAGCTGACACGAAACGTCACTTAGGATTTTTCTCTGGAAATCAAACTTCCATTGAAAAGCTCCAGCGGTTAGCGGTGTTAGGCTGATATCTGGAAGCCGACGGTTCAGTCAGACACGCTGACATTATGATACTGTCTGCTTTAAATCAGGAACATGTCAAAAACCTGACTTTGGCTTGTCAGGTACCTTTTGATGCTATTTTGCAAGCCAGTCACAGGTATTAGATTCCTTTTGTCCCTTATCTATCATGACATTTTCTCCTTGAGCAGGAGCTGCGTGAAACCTCAACAACAAAGTTGCAGAAACAGATTCTTGCTGCATCTGAATTCTGAAGAGCATCGGGCACAATCTCAGTCCATCTGACCAGAAAAAATAAAAATAAAACAGACACCGCCTTTCATTATAACTTCACAGAGCTGACGATATTCACTTCTCTAACCAGTCGAGATGGAAGCGATACTGTCACAGTTACGTCTACAAACACAAAGCAGACTAGCATAGCGGTGAAGGGTGTTTTCCTCCATGGAGACGGCTGCTTAGAGGCAGTAATGCAATCTGTCTGCAGCTGCCAATGAATGTGTGGCACACCATGTCCTCCCCTGTGGTGTCTCACAGATGATAAAAGACTGCATGCTGGGTGGGAACATGTGCATCTGTGAGCACGAATATGTACATTACATGTCACTTTGTGGGCTTCATAAAAGGGGTTTATCAGTGTGTGTTTGTGGTGCTTGTTTGGCAGCCAGAGAAGAGGCCGGTGTCAAGGGAAGATGGATGAGAGATGAGGGGCTGAAAGATTAAAAGAGAGCAGCCTAGAAAGCAGCCTGCACCGCCTCAGAGAGAAAGTCCCTCACCTGCTGTCCTCCTGGTTGATGCTCATGTACATTTCCCAGGTAGTGTCTTCTGCAATCCCCCCGTGAGGCACCAACAGACTGATACCTGCAGAGAGAGGGAGGGAGGGAGGGAGGGAGGGAGGGAGGGAGGGAGGGAGAGAGAGAGAGAGAGAGAGAGAGAGAGAGAGAGAGAGAGAGAGAGAGAGAGAGAGAGAGAGAGAGAGAGAGAGAGAGAGAGAGAGAGAGAGAGAGAGAGAGAGAGAGAGAGAGAGAGCTGATCAGCACACAGCCCGACATGTGCACGCACGCACACACACACACACGGCACACCTGCTCAGCTGTCAGCTCTCTTTACTGAGGGTGACAGCCAGAGGGGGTGATGGCCCCAGAAAGAGGTGACAGAAGCGAAGTCTCAAAGGCCTTGTGAATCAGTGCTGCCAGCACTCTTTGTCACAAACCGACACACACACAGGCTGTCTCCTTCTTAAACACAAGCACATGTAATCATAGACGGAGTTGTATGGCATCATAAACAATTACCACCAATCTGGGAGAGGATAAAGCGCCTTTAGGGACAGGATGATGAATGTAGGCCACGACAAGGAGCCGCTTGAAAATCCTGGTGAACGGAGCAGGAGGGGTTCAGGTGGAGCTCACGATAAACTGTTGGATTATGGAGCTAGTGTGTGTGCTTTAGGAACTAGCACAATAAAAATCTGCTGAACTGAAGTGAATTCAGTAACAAACCTAGCATTTTATAGTTGTGGCTTTACGTAGAGAAAACCTCGCTCAGGTTTACACTCGTGTCGAATTAGATTGCCTCGCAGCGGGCTCACCTGTGTTGGGCACCACCAGCCTGCCTCCAGCGTGGCCAAACACTGCCGTTGCTTTGTTCAGAGGCCTGCTGTGAGTTTGAAATGCTTGTGGAGCAAAAAGGTTTCTGCCCCTTCGGCCCAGTGTCGTCCCCACAGGAACTCCTCTGTAGTCTGGAGCCAAGCCCCGTGGAAACGTCTGGGGGTGGGACATGATGTGGTACTCTGCCCTTTCTGCCGCCCCTGAGGACACAACCAAAAGGAGCTTAAAACTCATAATTAACAGGAAAACTTTAAATTGACTTTAAATTTTGGACGGGTTTACGGTCCAGCCGATCCCCCTCCAGCTGACTGTTCGCTAAAGCTGATGTCAGAGTGACTGAAACTGAGGTGTGCCTGTCTCTGCTGAGGGTTTTGCCTCCAGCTAAAACAATGAGCCTGAGGCTGTAAGAAAAAGCAGCACTTTGCATTTAAGGAGCTTTGGGTGTGGAGCTGCTCCAAACCAAAGATCGTATTAAAAAGATGTCTGTAGCCTCTACTAGATGGGACTTTTGAAGTTCTGCATTCAGCCGAGACAATTTCAAGTTTTTACAAGCAGATGTGACACGCAAGGAGCAGACACGAGCTACAAACGCAAAGACACTGGAGGAAAATCCTCTGGGATCCTCCTAAATGGTTCATTTTGATCTGCTTAGTTTACGATGATAATCAAGGAACCAAGCTCTTCACAATAATAAACCATCTTTTTAGTGTGTTCCTTTTTCCTTCAGTAAGGGGATTAAACAAAGGCTGATTAGAAATTATCAACATAAAACGCCTTGAAATCATTGTCGTCGTCGTCTTCCTCCGCTTATCCGGGTCCGGGTCGCGGGGGCAGCATCCCAACTAGGGAGCTCCAGACCGTTCTCTCCCCAGCCACCTCCACCAGCTCCTCCGGCAGGACCCCAAGGCGTTCCCGGACCAGATTGGAGATGTAACCTCTCCAACGTGTCTTGGGTCAACCCGGGGGCCTCCTGCGGGCAGGACATGCCCGAAACACCTCCCCAGGGAGGAGTCCAGGAGGCATCCTGACCAGATGCCCAAACCACCTCAACCGACTCCTTTCGATCCGGAGGAGCAGCAGTTCTACTCCGAGTCCCTCCCAAATGTCCGAGCTCCTCACCCTATCTCTAAGGCTGAGCCCGGCCACCCTACGGAGAAAACTCATTTCGGCCACTTGTATCCGCGATCTTGTTCTTTTAGTCATTACCCAAAGCTCATGACCATAGGTGAGGATTGGGACGAAGATCGACCGGTAAATCGAGAGCCTGGCTTTCTGGCTCAGCTCCCTCTTCACCACGACAGATTGGCTCAGCGTCCGCATCACTGCAGATGCCGAACCAATCCGCCTGTCGATCTCCCGATCCCTCTTACCCTCACTCGTGAACAAGACCCTGAAATACTTAAACTCCTCCACTTGAGGTAGGACCTCTCTCCTGACCCGGAGTTGGCAAGCCACCCTTTTCCAGTCGAGAACCATGGTCTCAGATTTGGAGGTGCTGATCCTCATCCCAGCCGCTTCACACTCGGCCGCGAACCTACCCAGCAAGAGCTGAAGGTCAGAGCTGGATGAAGCTAGAAGGACCACATCATCTGCAAAAAGCAGAGACGAGATTCTCCTGCCACCAAACTCGACACACTTCACACCACGGCTGCGCCTAGAAATTCTGTCCATAAAGGTAATGAACAGAACCAGTGACAAAGGGCAGCCCTGGCGGAGTCCAACCCTCACCGGGAACAGGTCCGACTTACTACCGGCTATGCGGACCAAACTTGCGCTCCTCTGGTAAAGGGACTGAATGGCCCTTAACAGAAAGCCACCCACCCCATACTCCTGGAGCGTTTCCCACAGGGTGTCCTGGGGACACGATCATAAGCCTTCTCCAAATCCACAAAACACATGTGGACTGGTTGGGCAAACTCCCATGCCCCCTCCATCACCCTTGCAAGGGTATAGAGCTGGTCCACAGTTCCACGGCCAGGATGAAAACCACATTGCTCTCCTCAATCTTTCCAGGGAGGCTGAGGAGTGTGATCCCCTTATAGTTGGAACACACCCTCAGGTCACCCTTCTTAAAGATGGGGACCACCACCCCGGTCTGCCACTCCACAGGAACTGCCCCCGATGACCACGCAATGTTGTAGAGACGTGTCAACCACGACAGCCCTACAACATCCATAGCCTTGAGATACCCAGGACGAATCTCATCTGCCCCCGGTGCTCTACCGCTGTGTAGTTGTTTGACTACCTCAGTAACTGCTGCCCCCGAGATACCCAGGTCTCCCGGCTCTGGTTCCTCCTCGGAATGCGCGTAGGTGGGATTGAGGAGCTCCTCAAAGTAGTCCTTACACTGTCCGACTATAGCCCCAGTTGACGTCAGCAGCTCCCCATCCCCACTGTACACAGTGTGAGCGAGTTGCTGCCTCCCTCTCCTGAGGCGCCGGACAGTTTGCCAGAACCTCTTTGGAGCCAATCGATAGTCTTTCTCCATGGCTTCACCAAACTCCTCCCACGCCCGAAATTTTGCCTCGGCAACTGCCACTGCTGCACCCCGCTTGGCTATCTGGTACCTGTCTGATTCTTCCGGAGACCCACAGAACAGCCACGCCCTGTAGGCTTCCTTCTTCAGCCTGACGGCTCCCTGAACCTCTGGTGTCCACCAGCGGGTACGGGGGTTGCCACCACGACTGGCACTGGCCACCTTGTGACCACAGCTAGCAACAGCTGCCTCAACAATCGCAGAGTGGAACAAGGCCCACTCGGAGTCAATGTCCCCCACTGCTCTCGGGATGTGGTCAAAGCTCTGCCGTTGAAGACCGTCTTGACAGGTTCTTCTGCCAGGCGTTCCCAGCAGACCCTCACTATGCATTTGGGTCTGCCAGGTCTACGCGGCATCTTCCCCTGCCATCTGATCCAACTCACCACCAGGAGGTGATCAGTTGACAGCTCCGCTCCTCTCTTCACTCGGGTGTCCAAGACATACGGCCGTAGGTCAGATGATACGACTACAAAAGTCTATCATCGACCTAGGCTGCCTTGGTACCAAGTGTACCGACGGGCATCCTTATGTTCGAACATGGTGTTCGTTATGGCCAAACTGCAGCTTGCATATAAGTCCAATAACGAAACACCACTCGAGTTCAGATCAGGCGGGCCGTTCCTCCTAATCACACCCCTCCAGGTCATGCTGACATTGCCCACGTGAGCATTGAAGTCCCCCAGCAGGACAATTGAGTCCCCTGATGGAGCACCATCTAGCACTCATCCCAGGGACTCCAAAAAGGGTGGGTACACTGAACTGATATTTGGCCCATAAGCACAAACAACAGTCAGGACCCGTTCCCTGACCCGAAGGCGCAGGGAAGCTACCCTCTCATTCCCCGGGGTAAACCCCAACACACAGGCAGAGAGTCTTGGGGCTAACAAAAAGCCAACCCCAGCCCTCCGCCTCTCACCCGGATCAACTCCAGCAAAGGAGTGCCCAACCCCTTTCAAGGACTTGGGTTCCAGAGCCAATGTTATGTGTCGAGGTGAGTCTGACTATATCTAGCCGGTAACGCTCAACCTCTGCCACAAGCTCCTGCTCCTTCCCCGCCAGCGAGGTGACGTTCCATGTCCCAAAAACCAGTTTCCTTGTCTGGGGATCAGACCGCTAAAGCTTGGTTTATGCTTGACGCATTCACTTTCCGCGCGGTGATGCGGCTCGCGGATGGAACGCGCTTCACAACTCGCAGTGTTTATGGTTCGTGCGGCTCGTCTCTGCGGTGAGCCAATATTCTCCCAAACTGAACGGGGCAGCATGAAGCTCTACGGCATGCATCCAACACTACACCGTAGTAGAAGTAGAAATTACTGTTTACAACACGGCATTTCAGCATTTTTAACAGTGTCCTCATCTTTTCCGACAGTGCGAGCTATTTCTCTCCAAGAATTATTAACAACATGTTGATCCCGGTGATCTCTGAGAGCTGAATCATACAAATGTCTGTATTTACGAACCTCTGCCATACTAGTTCTTGCCGGTCCGCCATGTTTTTCCGCGTCCGACCGTCCGCGTGGTTAGAAATTTTCCGAAGTGCGCGTTGCGGAAATTTTGAGCCGTGTGGAGACGCGGTGGAGGGGCGTAGTTGTTAAAATGACCCAAAATGACTAAACTTTTCCGCACGGAGCCGTGCGGACCTCGCTGACGCGTCAAGCATAAACCAACCTTAAGGCTCCCGCCTTGGCCTGCCACCCGATCCACATTGCACCGGACCCTTCATGTTCCTCCTGCGGGTGGTGGGTCCACAGTTAGATGAGCCCACATATCTGGTTCGGCCTGGGCCTGGCCGAGCCCCATGGGCGAAAGCCCGGCCACCAGGCGCTCGCTCACGGGCACCAACCCCAGGCCTGGCTCCAGGGTGGGACCCCGGTAACCCTCCGGGCCGGGTACTCTGACTCCTTGAAAGTTCATCCATGAAAGATCCTCTGAACCATTCTTTGTCTCACCTTCACCTAAGACCAATTTGTCATGGGATACCCTACCAGGGGTACAAAGTGCCCCAGACAACAAAGCTCCTAGGATCATTAGGGCACTCACCTCCACCACGATAAGGTGACGGTTCAAGGAGGGGCCTTGAAATCATAGAAAACGTAAAACAAATTAAAACAGTTTGTGAATTCACATTAAAATCTGTGTTTCGGACATGTTTTAAAATATGACGTCTTCTGCAAATGAAAAAATAAAGAAACAGGACTCAGGTTTACGGCTCCTTTAGGTTCCAGCTCTGAAATGGGATGTTTAATCCAGCTTTTACAGTCTACCTTTGAAAAACTGTCACTTTAGACTCTTAAATCACCAAAATGGAAATTTAAATTCAAAACTCAAGGCTTCTGAACAGTTGGAAACCTTCAGTGTGGCCATGAATCTATTTTGTTAATAGTCTGTAAGATTGAAATGCTTTTGGACCTTCCATCAAGAGTTGGACATTGCTCCCTGGTTTTATGCTTCAGTCTGTGAGTTTGCTGCTTGATTCAAACGTACAAACACACGGTGGTTCTGAAATATTACAGATGGTTGTTTATTACATTTAGTTGTTTAACATTTTGTTATGTGAGGATTAAACTACATGCTTTAAAGAGGTGGAAGTTCCTGTTTTAAGTGCTCTGAAGCTGACTCATGATGGAATAAAAACACTGTTTTGTGTTTAGGAGCATTTATTTG